GGCCTCACAAAATACGTATTCCATTATTGGAATTATTCGATTAATTTGGGACGCAGACTGTACCACTCGAGATTGAATGGCACGTATTGTACGTGCCATCTCTTTTGCTCCGAATGCGTTCTCCCTCTCTCGTGTGCGCAATCCTAGCAAATCCTCATATCACTTCCTACACTTGACGAGCTGTACAAAAATGATGTTCTCAGGAAAATCCAGTTTTCCGAATGTTGAAACATGGGAAAACACAAATATTATGTATTATTTCTAAATGTTACAACTGTCCTGTTAGTGTTACGAGTACAATCGCCTCTGGAATGGGGCCAATTGTAACAATGACACAAACTCATTAACATGACATATTCCTGTCAAACTGTTATACCTGAGCTGCTGGTTTGAAACTATTTCAAAGACAAATGACTACATTCAAAGGAAAATCGTTACAACCGTAGCCGGTCTACTCTATACATTTCTTCAATTTCTTTTTGACATTTTTGCTGCTGTTTCACCGCACATTAACTTTGTTATTTTAAACGTGGTTGGTTCTGAAAAGGAATGTCCCAACTTTCTGGACACCCTGTATATGCATCAAGTTCATTTTATGCATACACAGTTTATGCTGCACGTTTATCGGTCATAAAAATATACATGTTCGATGCACAAATCAACGAAATATAGCCGGACATCCTAACGACGCTGTCGATCATCCTTGAGTGATAATAATCGATTTCCCGATGGCCAATATATCAAGTCCCTATTACGTTTTTATTATCTAATAAAGCTCAGGGCTAGCTAACCGATAACAGTCAATGAGAGATGTTGTATAGCTTTGATTAAATGGCAATACAAGGTTTATGCAGGATACTTTTCATTAGCGTGGTGAAGTGGTCATTGGACAGATATAGTATGTCGGAATAAGGCAGAGTGAAACGTCATCTATCGCTAAAATCGACCACTGCGAATCAGTGAATGGCTAATACAGTGTATTTGAGCTTTCCTATCAATAATAGTTCACCTTACATTTTTCGAGATTGAGATACTGAGATCAATAGTTTTGGTACAGAAAAGATGTATTACAAGAATGTTTATGTGTAGCGAAAAATAGTACATCACTACTCATGTCAAAAATATAACTACTCATAGATAAAAGAACAGTTTTCAAACAGACTTTATATGTTTCAGGAAAAATTACACTTATTTTGGAAAAAACCATTGGCGTGATCCCATACCACGGAAACTGGGAAATTCTGATCTCATGTTCATAAGAACATTAGCCATCTTATTACAATAATAATAATATAATAATAATTTGGAAGCACGTCAGAGAGTTTAGCTACGCTTAATCCCACTGTGTGGAAAAAGAACAAAAACAAAATGAATATACAAAAAAAAAACAAGAAAAAGGGGCAAACAACATCAAGAATTATAATGTATGACACGCACGCTGTATATTTTGAGATGTGCATTAACTATACTACTACTACAACAGTGCACTATTAGAAAGGACAGTCCTTTATCAGTAAGTCACCACATTCAGTTCATTTGCAGTCATCTTGCAGTGCACGTGCTGTAAACAAATTTAAGACGAAACATGGAGTTGTCTGGAAAGCGTTGTCGCGCTAAGATTTACTATGACTTTAAATTTGGTTCAACTGAACATCAATGTATCGAACGGTTACAACAGGCATTTGGTAATGAAGCTCCATCCCGGGAAAGTGTATTTCGCTGGTATGCCGAATTTAAAGGAGGGCGTGTTTCATTGGCTGATGAAGAACGTGGTGGTAGGCCATGTTCTAGTGTGACTCCAGAAAAAATTGCTGAAGTTTAGCGGTTAATTGAAGAAGATTCTCGCTGCATATATGCGACTATAGAGGCAAATCTTGGGGTAGGATCCGCAACAGTGCACACCATCTGGCATGATCATCTTCATTTAAGAAAAGTTGTTGCGTGCAATCCACGACAATACCTCTAGCCATACTGCCCAACTAACTAAAGACTTTTTACGCCAGCGCCACATGCTGGAACATCCGCCTTATTCGCCAGATTTGGCAATGTGTGACAATTTTCGTCCGAAGAGGAAATCGAACAAGCTATTAATCAGTTTGTTGAAGGCATTCCAAAAACCGACAGGTGAGAAGCATTTCATTTGTGGAAGGTCAGGCTACACAAGTGCATTGATACTGGAGGAGAATACTTTGAACATAAATAAAATAGTTTTCAAAAAATAGTTTTTAGTTTTCGGGTATCTCAAAATATATAACGTGGCCCTCGTATAAAAAAACAATCAAAGCGTGTATATGAAAAAAGATTTAGGCAGCCGGCTACTCCTAATCTCCCCCAAAGCAGCAAATAAGAAAAAAATGCGCATATCAAACATGAAATGATTATGACACAAGACAATGTGTCAATCTAAAGAAGAAAATACTCACTTCAGCACAATAGAGAAACCTAAATGGACTACAGCAGCTGACATTTTATCATTTTTTCAAAAAAAACGACCAGTTCAGATCGCTGCTGATTTGTTAGTTACTTGACCCTTATTTATTTATTTTATTTTATTTATTTACACCAATTATTGGTGAGAAAACAGAAATTTACATAGTACAAACATGGAATTATATACATAAGAAATATAACCTTCACGAAACTATGCAATTATATAACAGATGTCTGTTTTGTAGATTGTTCAAACAGTTAAGGGACCTATTCACATGCGAGCATGTCCGGCGGATCTGTCCGAGAGACGTACTCGTCGGACAGATCCGCACGTGTATATGCACGCGCTCGGCGTACATGTCTGGCTCGCCGTCCGTAGCCCAAGACGACGATCACCGCTAGCGAGCCGGACAGATACGTACGTGAATAGACCTGTTGCGGATTTGCTCGCCGGACGTAAAATTTTTCATCTCATTTTGCATTTACCTAATAAAGTCCAAGAGGGATAGTTTGGATTTATGTTATTAAAATGTCTTTCGCGGATAACAAACCATTTTGGGAAAGTTTTATTTTATTGTATAAGTCAAAGCCTTGCTTGTGGAATGTAAAAAGCAAGGAATATGCTAACAAACAATTGCGAAATGACGCATATGAAGCATTAGTTGAAAAATGCAAGGAAATTTGGCCTCTGGCAGATGTGAAGTTTGTAAGAAAAAAAATAGATTCCTTGCGTGCTGGCTTTCGCCGAGAATTAAGAGAAATTAGAAAAAGTAAGAAAACTGGGGCCTCCACGGATAGTATTTATGAACCCAGTTTGTGGTATTTTCAATTACTATTATTTACTCGGGATCAGGAAGAAGTTCGCCCTGGAACCTCTTCAATGGCATTCCAGGAATTAGAAGAGGAAACTCAAAGTGAAACAAGGGTAAGTAATTTTTTTATTACGTTTATTTTTAATAAAAAATGCAAACATTTTCGATCAAATACAACTTTTTGTAAGACTTTTCGATTATTCTTAATTTCCGTTGATCATATTTTCTTGAAATGATACTCCTCCTTCATTATTATAGTAGTTGGTAAATGCTTTTCTGACATTTTTTGCAATATCGTTGTAATAGGTCCTTCTGTTTTGTAAACCATGTAACTGACGAAGCTCTTCACGCCAATCACCATCTTGAATAATGTGATCACTGTTTTCGCGATCCACTGAGCGAATATTCATATAGTTGGAACATTTTCTTCTTAAAAAATTATGTAATACGCAGCATGCCAATACGACTTTATCGACTTTTTCTACATTACTTAGTGTAATTGTGCTCAGTAATATTCTGAAGCGAGAAGCCAATATGCCAAACACGTTTTCAACCACTCTCCTTGCTCGGCATAGGCGATAATTGAAACTTTTTCATCGTGGCTAATACCATTTATTGAATAGGGCTTCATTACATTTTCTGTTAGGCTAAAAGCGTCATCTCCTATAAAAACGTATGGTAATTTGACTGCTGATTTTTCAAGATGATGAGGAGGAGGAATATTTAAAGTATGATTTTCGAGTTTCTCGTAAAAATCGGTCTCTTGCAGGACACCTCCATCTGAAACTCTGCCATTTATTCCCGTATATACATAAATAAATTCATAGTTAGCGTTTACAATGGCAAACAAAACGGTGCTGAAAAATCCCTTATAATTGTAAAAAACGAACCGCTATTAGGCGGTTTTTTTATGGCAATATGCTTGCCATCCATGGCTCCCAAGCAATGTTCAAAGTCGCAGGAACGTTTGAATCCATTTGCGATTTCCAGCCAATCATTTGTGCTTGATGGAAACTGAAACAAAAATCATGTGAAATATCATTTGTATTACAACAATGTGTATTATTTTTTTCAGGATGAACAACCTGAATCATTAAGCGAGCCATCAACTCCCGTAAGCAGCTGCTATTCTGAGCATGCTGAAAAAAGTAGCCGTGGAAGTTGTAGGTCCACAAATAGAAATAGTAGTCTAGGCCATAAAAAAGCAAAGTTTCTAGACGCAGCAAATGTTGCCCTTACAGCTCCAGAAAAACCAATATCTCCATTTGAACCGTTTGGAAAAGCGTAGCAGTTGATCTCGACACATGGACGCAAGACAAAGAATTATTGCGCAAAAAATAATTTCCGATGTTTTATTTTACGGAAAATTAGGAAGGCTTACGGAAAACTGTACGTTTCATGCACCAACCCACCAACATTCAGGCAACAGTTTTCAAAACTTCTATGATTATGGGCAAAATCCTACCACTTACTATGGAAATCAGTTTGCAACACAACCAGCCACACTAGTTTCTCACCCACAAAATAATACGCTCTATCAACAGTCAACCATACCAGTTTTACAGCCGCCAGTTACTCAGCTACATGATACACTCTTTCAACAACCAGCCGCACTAATTTCGCATCCTTCAGTTACTCAGCTAAATGATCCACCCTCTCAACAACCAGCTATACAAGAATCTAATCTTCGAGTTACTCAGATTCAACATGAGCAACCCAGTACATCATCAAAAAATAATACAATATATTATGATACGAATAAGTGTGACGTTTCCGAGTTTCTGCAACTTCAAAGCAATAAAAAATAAGTTTGTAACATACTTTATAAGTAATATTGTACTTATTAACTAATAAATCATTTACTAACCTTCAATATTCGTTTTTTAGTGTCATAAATAATGCCCAACAAGTTTCAGGTATTATTTTCCCGAGAAGCTGTGGGGAGATTGCACAACTAAACTTCAAGTCTTCAACACTCCTTCCAGTTGCTAAGTACCGTAGCGTAGCAATTAATCGCTCTCTGCTACTCACTGCTTCTCTCATATGGGTGGTATTTCTTTGGATTAATGGGTCCTTCTACATATTGTAATAATATTTCAAATGCTTCTTTATCCATTCGTAAAAAGTTGTGCAAATCATGAGGCTCTGTTGTTTGGAGTTCTCTAATTAAACTCATATGAGAATACTTTCTTCTTTCTAAGAACCACCGCTTTGACCACAGTCTTTTCTTCTTCTTTTCATCAAATAAAACTATGAATCCTCCAATTATCGCAAGTTTCTTTTTATTATCCATTTCACAACGCGGAAATCAGTAACTGAATGAACCAAAAACTTCGTCTATCCAGATTTGTCGGTGAATGTATACGGACAAATTCGCATGTCAGTAGCGCGCAGCAGATCTGTCCGTCGGACGGATCCGCCGGACATGCTCGCATGTGAATAGGTCCCTTAAGACATGGAATATAAGGGAAAATGCAGCAGTACGTTGGTCCTGGGGGTTGGTAAACAAAACGTTAGTATGTTTGTGGTGAGACATCATGGTATATTAAACGAGAGGCGACCGAGAATATACGGACAATCGTATTCGTTGTGAATAACCTTGAATAAGATTATTAACAAGTGCATTTTTCTTATGTGGTCTAAACTTAGCATTTCGTGCCTCTTTAACAATACATCTTGAGGAACACCTATTTCTGGATAAATACCATCTATTCTGTATGACAGATATTTCAGAAAACTTGCGTTGTATTTTTTCTAGTGAGTCACAAGTCACATAGCAGGGATTCCAAATAATTCTAGCGTATTCAAGTTTTGATATTACAAATGCATTGTACAACGTGAGTAGAGCATTTACCTGTATGCTGTCAAAATCACGAGATTTGCGCAACACAAAACCCAGACTTTCATTTACAGAATTTAGAAGATAATTTATATGCAGATTGAAACTGAAGGTTGTGTCAAAGATGACTCCAAGATCTCTGAACTCTCTTAGAATTATGCGTGACGACATTTATAAGATACATGAATAGCTTATCAACTTTCAACTAGTTGAGTTCCCTGATTTTATCTGTAACATGACTAAACTTATGCAGAACAAAGATATACTGCTGTAGCTTTTTTTGTATTTTGTCAAGCTTGGCTTTCTGGAGATAGAGAAAATAGTAAATGTACCCTTAATTTTTCTTGATATCATTTTGTATATCCCTGAAGTGTGTTTTATCTGGCAACTTTTCAAGAAATCCGTATACAAATTTTTCAGCGAAGCCATCCGGAGCTCAACTACAGCAGTAAGCGACAGCTACATTACTCTAGTCTAGACTGAGTTAATATTTACCGTCTGCTCCTGCATCCGTGCTCCATACGGCCTCAATTTTTTTGCATTGACCCTGGATATCTAGCCTAAGCTATCTAGAGTTTAACCAACCGATGAAAAAAATACTGTTTTTGAGGAAGTCAAAAGCCTACTCGACAAATGTCAGTTGCCCCGAGATCGTCGCGCTGCGGTGATTCGTTAAAAAACGAATTAGTAAAATAAACACTGGAGAGAGACAGAAATGGTTCTCAGACCATATCTCCGTTGAAAGTGTCAGTAACGCTAACAATCTAATTCACTTTATATAGCCCGGGATCCATAAACCGCAAATGTCCATCATACCGGCTGTTTCAAATTTGACTCTCCCCATTGGGATCTCGGAAACGGTAAGAGATACGAAAGTCGGTTAAATAGGGACAAACATTTTATTCTTATTATTAATGAATACAGAAATGAGCAAAGTACAACGTACTGTGAATCCATATACAAAACATTATACAGAATATGAATAAGCAATGAAATATCCAATAAGATCATTGTACCATTTGTCGTGCGTATTTTGAAGTTCTGGACTGACGTGGCACTGACTAGGTTTGCTATTTTTAGCTGGTAGCATTCTTAGTACCAAAAAACACGATTAGGAATGAAATATCAGCGGATTGATGTGCGAAAAGTCTCCTTCTTACTGCGTGACATCTGGAACATGTACGAAAAGTTGGTTCCGAAGAGGCCAAGTGTTACACCAGAAAAAAATAATTTCTTCAAATTGATTTTCTGGCAATGGGGTAGTCTTACATCGAGACTGAAATGATAACATTTCACGAAATCTTATTGACAAGTAATAAGAAAAAAGTTAATAATGAGTTGGTCGACCCCGCAGCTGAATACACTCCTGTATAGGTCTAGGAATCAAACAAATTAGATGATTGATATCTGGTTGTGGCACATCATTCCAAGCAACTCGAACTTGGATTAGCTGTGGCAGTGCCACACGTTCGATGGGATTTAAATCCGGTGAACGGGGGTGGCGACGGCAAAAACATTAACGCCTGCTTCTTGGAGAAAGTCCGTAGTACGACGACCAATATGGGGACGTGCGTTATCTTGCTGAAAAAGGAAGTGTGGACGAGAGAAGGGATGATCCATAGCTCCCCAACCATTACTCCAACAACCTGCGTATACGCCCTCTCTACAGCAAATCCAATATCACCGCCGTTCTCCAAGGCGGCCGTCTTACCCTTCTATGACCATTGTGCGTACCTAGACAGAATCGCAATTCGTCGCTGAAGATGACATATGCCATTCTACCCTCCAATGCTTGCCGCTCTCTGCTCCAGTTCAAACATTGACGAGGCAGCACTAACCGTGGACCGTATGAAAAAAGTCCAAAGGCTCGAATACGGCGAAAGAATGTCCGCATAGTAAAAAGTCTACCTTCTTCTCCAAACCATTGGTCAGTGATCTGACGCGTAGTAGCAAAATCGTATCTTAGGGCTATGGAGTAGACAAGCATTTCATAGTCTAATAAAAAATGTGAGTCCACATATTCGCTGCTTTCGCAGCATTCTCAAGAATTGGGCTAAGATATCTTGGTCTGCACCCTTATAAGATCAAGTTAACTCAAGAGCTAAGGTCGGTCGATCATATGAACCGAGGTACGTTCTCGAATTGGGCTCTAGAAATGTTGCAAGAAAATGACCAATTTCATCGCAAAATCAATCTTCAGAGATGATGCGCATTTTTGGCTAAACGGCTTCGTCAACGAACAGAATATATGCGTTATTGGTCAGGTGAAAACCCTCATGTGCTCCAAGAAACACTTCATCCACAAAAAATAACTAACTGTATGGTGTGGTTTTCATGCCGGTGGTGTCATTGAGCCGTTTTTTTCGTTACAGACAACGGAGATCGCTACACAGACATGTTGCAACGTTATCTTTTTTTTGGTAATTGGATGGGCTAGACATCCACGATATGTGGTTTCAACAAGACGGTGCCTCAAGCCACACAGCAGGTGAAACAATCGACATATTGAAATGAAAATTACTTGAACGTATTATATCGAGAATGGCACTGTCGAAGGACCGCCTAGATCGTGTAATTTAACAACTATAGACTGTTTTGTGGGGCTACATTAAATTATTGGTCTATGCGAACAAGCCGGCGTCGTTCGAGGGTTCAACGAATCGATCGCTGCGAACGTGCTGGTGGTGGATATATGAACGAGGTCAAATTCCATACATAAATTTTGAGTATACTTCAATCCTCTAATAAAATTTTCGAGATATCTCAAATGGTTTGCGTTTGATTTAAAAAGAAAGTTGTCAAGTCCTTAATGGAAAACCCTAGGTTAGTGGAGTCGGCATAAACAGAACACGTAGATAAGATCAGTGCAAGTAAATCACTAGTGCATAACAGATAAAGCTCAGGGTTCAAGACGGAACCTTGTGGAACGCCGCTGGTTACGCTATTAGCATATGACTCTCACTGACACATATAGAATAAGATCTACCTATGAGGAAATTTTTCTGTCCATAATCCTTTGATTCCTAGATGCTCTAGTTTGGGAATCAGCCGTTCGTGCAGAATTACGAAACTAAGAATAAAATTTCGCCATTCCAAGTATTTCCTCAGATAGACAAAAGAAACCCAGTTTTCCCAAAATCGTTTTATCGTTTTAATTCTATTTATTCTCATTTTTGTCTTGTCCATGGTTTTAATTGAGCGATAGTATCAAATCCAATACAATTTGTAAATTTTCTGGTGGAAAATAAAATTTTTAAAAACATTGAGATGATGTCATGATATCCAAACCGTGCAATGGCAAATAGTAATTTGCTTCAATTTCCGATAATATTGGGAAGACGTTGCACAGTCGTTATTGCTCCCGACTGTACATGAGATACCAGACTGTGAAAAAGTTGCAGTAACGCTAACGATCTAATTTATTTTATAGCTGTGTTGTTGTAGCGTACCGTACGCACGCGTCCGATGGCACTTCCGCTTATTGTGATTCCTGTTTCGTAATTTTCTGCATGCCCTGCCGATTACGGAAGCGCGGCGGTGCACCGAAGCGCCCTATTATGACGTATGCTGCTACTTCGGAAATTGAATTTCTGTTAATTAAATCCGAAACGTGCCGAACACTGTAAAGCTCAACAGCATAGATCACAATAAGGATATAAGAATGTTTCAAACGTTTTATTTCGGACTTCTATTGTCTATGCAATTTTTGAGATCACGATGTTTTGATTGATGCCTTTGATGATTTTAAATAAGGCGTTAACACATTATGTTACCTTATCATATACGAAGGAGTACCTAACATTTCCAACTTTTGATGAAAAGGATTTTCCTACCTGTGCAATGCGTCAATGTTTTTTTTTCAGCTGTCAACACATCGATTTTAATAGTTTATTTACACTATACCTTGTACCCAACTGGTACATACAAGCGATGTCTTTTAAGTTTTGCATATGGAAATAAAATAACACGGTAGGTAGTTCTTAATGACTTTATTGTTTTTTTGAAGTATTCTCCACGAAGATTAATCCGTTAAATACTGCCTTGTTTTTTGGGCTGTGTGCGAGCTTGCATTGTCTTGGTGGAGGATGATTCTTCTTTCGGGGTTGATTTTTCGAAGCTCGGTGATGACTTTTGGCAAACCAATGGTGGTATACCAATCCGCAGTAACAGTTCTTTGCTCATTAAGAGGAATTGTTGCAATATGACCCGCTTTTGACACAAATGTCGCGACCATCTTTTTCGAAACACTTCGAGAACGGATGACTTTTGTTGGCTTTTCTTCACCTTGTAACACCCAAACAGCCGACTGTCGTTTATTTTCTGGTTCATAACAGTAAATCTATGATTCATCACCACTAACAATGCTGTACACATTTTTGAGTTTCCGGAATTGAAACGGTCAAGCGTTTTTTGACACCAATTAACCATGACTGCTTTGCTCTTCAGTCAACAGG